ATAAGTTTTTGAGAAAGGGGAGGAGAAACCAGGTCTCGAAGAGATTATGTTGCTTGTCCATATTAAAAAGTGCCTGACCGGAGCCCTACAGAATGTGTATTGATCCACTGTGTCTCGAGTGGTTAGGAGTCTTCACAGTTCCAGGGACGTTTCTGCATGAGCCTTGGCACCGTAGCCATTGTCTAAACCATCTGCCTCCTAAGTGTGAGTCTGTCCCTGGTGCCCCGAAGGATGATCTCCAGGACACTAGCCGGCAGGATAGCTACATAATTTGTGGAGGCACAGTACAAAAACCACCGGCTACTCTCTAAGAATTTCAAGTCCTCTTGTTAGAGCATTACACCAGGAGCAGGGCCCAGCTGGGGGAAGGTCTCTCTGAGTCTTCGTAGATGCAGGCTCATGGGGCCAGGTCTGACTACAGAAAAGGCAGTCAAATGGAGTAGATTCTGGGCAGGGCTGCCTCTTGAGTTTCTGGTTGGGGATTGGGATGGGGCATGTCCTCTGAGCATGGCTTGTCTCTGTCCTGAGGTCTTCTCTGTGTGGAAACCTAAACACTTCCTGCCAAGGATTTGCCCACAGAGCCCAGTGGAAGGGGGAGATAATGGATCCCAAAGTCCAGTCAAGATGTTGCCCAGAACAGTGGTTCTCAACTGCTGCTTTACAGACCTGGTCTGGCTTTGATGAAGTTTTCACTTCTTAGATGTACAACAGAAGAAACAAGGGCATGGCAGGGAGGTTTTCTTGGTGTGTGTTTGCTTTTGTCTGTAAAGCTAAATTTATCAATTTATAATGGACACTCTTCTTTGATTACCTTTGTCTTAAGATTTGGGGGCTAAAATGTTCTTTCTGTCATAAAGAGATCCTAATGACACATGGTAGGTGTTTTGAGTCATCTTCACCAGCTGAATAAAAAGTTGGACACTCTAAGGCATGATTCCCAATGTTTTGAGGAAAACTCACTGTCGTGAAATATAAAAATGTCGGGAGCCAATGGACCAGAAAGTGAAGGAGAGTGGAGTAGTACAGTGGAGACCCTGGGCTGGGAAATACCCTTACATCTTACGAGACTTTTCCTTTGTTGGGGCCCTTGTCCTTTACTCTTCACTGAGTCCTGGACCGGATGATGGCTTAGCCCTGTCCAACTGCAGCATTCTCTGAAAACTCTAACCACATAGCTCTCATTGCTAAATAACATCGAGGGTTTGGATTACAGCCCCAGCGGTTCCCACTTATCTGATTCATGGAGAAACACAGAGAAGACAATTTAAAGAAATCTGAAACAGAATAACCACAAAAGCAACTCAACAGCTGTTCCATAGATACTGGGACGAGCCCATCATAAAATGTACTATGGCATGTCTTAATGGTTGGGATACAATAAGAAAGTTCTATCTTAAGTACCATTGACTTAGTCATGTTGTGTTTTGCAAAACAGGCAGCAAACATCTGCTTATCCAAAAAAAAAAAAAAAAAAAAAAAAACCCCCACAAAAAACCCCCAAAACCTTTAAATTATTTCCTTTATATTCCAATATTCAAAAATTCTGTAGGATACACTTTGCTTGGTCCATTAAAGCCCACAGGGTCATTTTGAATAATGAAGCTGATAAATTACTCTTTAAAATAATAATATATTAAAAAACATGATAAAGTGATTTGCCAATTTAGCAAGAGCCTGACTACTTGCCTGGTACGTCATAGGCATTCAATGACTATTTGGTAAATAAATATATTTCAATAAAAATGTACTTGCATTCTGATTTTGTCATATTATAACTGCTCTCCTTTAAAAAAAAAAAAGCCAAATTTGCCCGAGAGAGGGTCTCTTGCATACCTACTGTACAATCCACTTTGTGCTTCTGAATTTTCAAAACAAACCCAACTGCCATCAGGAACGCCGATCCAATGTCACCGTCAAAATGTTTTACCACGATTTGGCCAAATGTTGGCGGAACAGCTGTGCTACTCGTCTGCTTGAATCATCTTCCTTCTTTCCTTTTGGCCCAATCCTGTGATTCATCATTCTGCTTTTAGAATACTTGCCTATTTTTAAAACCAGTCAAAGAAGGCAGCCACTGTTTAAAAGTAAACACACCGCACATCAACTCAGACCAGCTTTGTAAGCAGCTTCACAAGCCCTGAAATTTCTGGCGGGCAGGGACGCCCGCTGAACCAGATGGCCTTGGGCAGTGAAAGGCAGTCCTGGCTTCCAGACTCGGTCGTCTCCTTACATCTGTCTTTGGTTTTCTTACTTCCGCTGCCGTTTCCCGCTTGGATTAATCCAGCGTGAACCATTCTTTAACCAAAGTCTTATCTTTATTTTGCTCATCATTATTACAACATCTGTTACATGTTTCTATGTCAGTGAGTTAGACTTTTTTTTTTTTTTAAACTCAAGAAATCCAGTCTTAAGCCTTGTCAAAATTATCAGCTTACACAGAAGTGCCACGGTTTGATTAGATTTCTACAATGCACTGTATTAATTCCAGGTCCTATCAGAGTTGGCTACTTACTTTAGTAAAGCAATTGAGTAACTTTCTTCTTTTTTATAACTAAGCAGGAAGGTGTATGACTTCCTAGACAGCAAGGTAGATTAAATCCCAGGAAGCCTTGAGCTCCCTTCCTGGCTGACTTTTAGGATTCTGGAAGGCACTATCTATTCTGGTACTTTACAGAAGTGGTTTCTCCTTCTAACGAGTGCCTGTTCATCTACGATTATTAGGGTTGGGGTGCCAACGTATAAGATGTTCCCATTTACCTGTGCCAAGTTGTTCTGGCCTTGAAGTCAATGAACTGACATAATCATGATGTCTGGCTTACTGATATTTTATTGAAGTGCATTTAAATCTGCCTTAGACCCAAGTCAGTTTTACAAACGATAGGTTTCATCACAAAGGCTACCTGTATAGGGTCAGTAACAGCAAGTGAATATCTCTGCTTTTTGTCCAGCTCTTTGCCGATGAAGGGATAGACTTGAAAACCACAGTATCTGGCAGAAGTTGTCATTCTGAGTAGGAAGTGAGCTCTCAGAGGGCCTGGGGCTTAGATCTCCTTGTGTCCTCTTGATGCAGTCCTCCAGCCCGCAGCAAGGATCCTGGGGGAGATTTCTCCATTTCTACATGCTCTGTGAAGCAGAACAGTGTTAGTGAACCTGCGGGCATCTGTCGTCTGGCATAAGTACAGGGAAAAGGGGATTCAAATTTGGTGATGCATTATCATTGTCTTAAGCCACTTTTAAATGGGAGTATTCTTTTTTTTAATTTTTAATTTTTTATAAACAATATATTTTTATCCCCAGGGGTACAGGTCTGTGAATAGCCAGGTTTACACACTTCACAGCACTCACCATAGCACATACCCTCCCCAATGTCCATAACCCCACCCCCCTCTCCCAGACCCCCTCCCCCCAGCAACCCTCAGTTTGTTTTGTGAGATTAAGAGTCACTTATGGTTTGTCTCCCTCCCAATCCCATCTTGTTTCATTTATTCTTCTCCTACCCTAAATGGGAGTATTCTTATACTACTCTTGACTAAAATATACCAGAGGCTGTTAACTGCAGTGACCCTTGAGGTGTTTGGCAGAGGCAAAAACTGTCCTCCTTTGAATTCTCTTCCTGGTAATTATCTTTGATGCCTTCAAAGAATCTTACTGCCTTAGAAGCCAGGAGCTCCTTGCGTGCTGTGTTTTATTCTGGACTCTGCTCTCAGAGAGTAGGGAGAGGAGACTTGTTTTTTCATTGGGTACAGCCCATAGTATATGCTCTTGTTCAAATAGAATAGCACAGTTTTAGAAACAGATTGGGTTATGATAGTGAGAACATAAAAGCCATGAACTTTCTTTTGTTACAATGTAAAAGAGATTTTTTTTTTAAAGATTTTATTTATTCATTTGACAGAGATCACAAGCAGGCAGAGAGAGAGAGAGAGAGAGAGGAGGAAGCAGGCTCCCCACCGAGCAGAGAGCCTGACTCGGGGCTCGATCCCAGGACCCTGAGATCATGACCCGAGCCGAAGGCAGAGGCCTTAACCCACTGAGCTACCCAGGCACCCCAGAGATTTGGTTTTTAAACGATTCTTTAGCTTGTCTTTTGTCTTATTCTCATAGTTGTCTATCTCGGGGTAGGTGTTGCCAACATGGAGGGGACAGGAATGGATGGCCCGGCAGAGCCAGAGTCCACCTGGACATAGGAGGTTCTGCTGACAAGGGGCTGTCCTCTTGTAGCGCAGCTGGGTCACAGTTTGTTCTTGAAGACATTTGGGGGTGATTTGAGTATTTTAGGCCAAACTCCTCTCAGGTTTCCTTGGATGCCTCTGAGAACGTCTTTTGATCCAGCAACACCTGCCTGTTGCCAGTCATCAGTTTAAGGCGGTTGAGGTCAGAGTGCCCACAGCTCTCTTCGCTCTCCCACATCAAGGCAGTGCACGGGGCCTCAGGTGGGGACTGCTGCCTCCTGCCCAGGGAAGAACCTCTCTGACTGGGTTGCTGCCTGGTGGTGGTGGTTTGTGGTGAGGACATCAAAGCTTGCCAACTTCGGAGTCACTCAGAGTCAAACTTCTATTTTTCACTAACACATTCTTCTGTCCCATTGAGGTTGCTCTGGTCACCGCATTAGCGCCTTGTTAAAGCACTTTCTTGCATACCAGGGAATCTGGTTTTGGCTACTGTGAGAATTTTGAAGGACAAGCAGTGCTTCTCAATTGTAGAGCCACCAGACTGAACCGTGGAGGATTCTGGTATTTGTTTGCAGAATTTTGGCCGGGCCATCTATGCTCTCCAGGCTTCTGTTTGTATCAAAAATGAACAAGATTTCTTTCTTTCTTTTCTTTTTTTTTTTTGGTATTCTCTGTGGCCCCGCCTGACGTGATGAGAATAATTAAAGCAGTATATATTGATGATTTAATTGTCTAAGTTTAAAGATGGTGAGAACGGGATCCCTCACCCCCCCACCCCAGGAGAGAAAGAGCTCTATAGTGAAGAATCCTTTTATTTTCATATTTTAGATGATACACCTTCTGAAGACGCCATTCCTCTGGTCTTTCCAGAATTAGACCAGCAGCTACAGGTAAGGATATATTGAGAGTCTTTCCTTTTTCCTCCTTAGCTTCACGGATGTAGTGAATGGACACGTGGCCTCATTGAGAAAGGACGGATTTGGAAACAGAGCGGGGAGCTTTCAAGTCAAGTCATCCAGGCTTCTACTTTTAGAACTCCAAAGTCACGCAACTCGCATTTAACCTCCTTGTCTGGGTATCTGGCTATAGCACCAGAATATCAAGAATTTATAGTGTAAGCAAGCACCTACTTTTTAAAAAAATTCTTTTCAGTGTAACAGAATTCATTATGTATGCACCACAACCAATGCTCCATGCAGTACGTGCCCTCCATAATACCCACCAGCAGCTCACCCAACCCCTCACCTCGTTCCCCTCCAACACCCTCAGATTGTTTCTCAGAGTCCACAATCTCTCATGGTTCGTCTCCCCCTCCAGTTTCCCCCAACTCACTTCTCCTCTCCATCTCCCCATGTCCTCCGTGTTATTCCTTATGCTCCACAAGTAAGTGAAACCATATGATAATTGACTTGCTCTGCTTGACTTATTTCACTCAGCATAATCTCCTCCAGTCCCATCCATGTTGATACAAAAGTTGGGTATTCATCCTTTCTGATGGAGGCATAATACTCCGTAGTATATATGGACCATATCTTCCTTATCCATTCGTCCGTTGAAGGGCATCTTGGTTCTTTCCACAGTTTGGCGACTGTGGTCATTGCTGCTATGAACATTGGGGTACAGATGGCCCTTCTGTTCACTACATCTGTATATTTGAGGTAAATACCCAATAGGCAAGCACCAACTTTTCAGTAGTTCTGGAGCCTGGGAACAGGGTTGGTCCCTGCCTTCTTTCGCTGAGAATGTCTCTGTACCATTGCGCTGGTTGCCCATTTTGAATTAGTGATTTAGGGGCAAACTGTGTGGAGGTGACTTGTCATGGATGGATGGTGGGGGGTGGAGAGGAGGCTTCAGAAAAATCTTCTTTTCTCTCCTCCACCCCCAACCCCTCCCCCGTCCTCTGACAACTTTCAGTAGAATATAATTATTTTAAGTTAAACATTCTGAATACTGTGTGGTTTTGGTCCATAGAAAAACTAATTTGTGTATTTACAGATAGTTTACAGACGCTCTATCAAAGAGATCCCATTTTAGTACACCAGAATCCTTTGAAAGGAGCTGACTTATGACATTTCAGTTTTCTTTAGATGATATGGTGATTCCAGGCAAAGATGACTTTAGGAAGAGGCTCTGCCTGGAAGACGTGGATATTGGCCGTGGGTCAGACGTGCTCTTGAGTACCTCACTTTGCAGTCACACTTAGACAAACCTAATAGGGGTCTTGAATCTGGCACACAGATATTTACTTAGTCACTACTTTTTTTTTTTTTTTCTCTAAGTATGGATTTTGAAAGCCTTTAGGAGGGATCTGCCTCTTCTATTTCCTATCAGGCCTGATGTCCCCTGTTGTCTTAGACCCCACAGCTTTTCCCATTTACAGGTGTGACTGGTATCCTGATATCATTCACATTCGTGACCCCCAGTCCTGAACAGGCCTCGACTGAGGTGGGAAGAACCAAGAATGAGCCCTTGTGCAACCCAAACAATGTCCTTTTTGATGGGTTCCAGTTCTGATTTCAGTACTCAGTGCACCTGGTTAAAAACCTAGTAGTCGCCAGGTCAGATCAGAAGAGCCTGTGTTCCAGTACTGGAATGGTCTCTTACGAAAAAAAAAAAAAAAGAAAAAAAAAATCAACCCAGCAAGACTCGAGTGTGACTAGACTGCTTGGAGGAGAGTCCTCTTTCTTACATCTGCCATGGTCCTGGGCATTGTCACAGCCCTCCAACAGAAAGCCCACTGAACAGACCGGGATCCGTTATGCAGAGATTACTGGACAGCGCCAGAGGTGGGAGGGTTATGCTGATCACCACACAGCTGTCAAAGGACAGAGCTGTTCTCCCTGAAGATTTCTTCTGCGGCTATCAGCCATCTTATCTCCTCCTTCTCCTGGTCCCCACGCAGGGTCTTCAACCCAGCTCCCCTAGTTTCTGATAGCTAACATCGTTCCAATATCACTTTTTCTCTCCATGGAGAACCATTCAGCTCTCAGTCGGCTTTGCTGCCTGGCGTGTTCTATACACACAACTTCCCCCACTTTGATTCTGTTCTCACAAAACGGCTGTGCACGTGCTACTAGTGGTATAGTTGGGATTATAACATAAAACGAGCTATTTCTCCTCCAAGTCCCAGTTTTTTTCTTCTTCTTTAATTTATTGTTGCCTCAAGGTTATTTCATTAATTATTATGGCAGCTAGGTGAAAATAACGAGTATACATGTTTTGGAAATAAAACAATAAAAACACGTTCAGGGTCTGGTCTCCAACAACAATGATCATTAATTCTACTTTTTTTTTTTAAAGATTTTATTTGTTTATTTGATAGAGAGAGTCACAGTAAAAGAGGGAAAACAAACAGCAGGAGTGGGAGGGGGAGAAACAGGCTTCCCGCTGAGCAGGGAGCCGGATCCCAGGACCCTGGGATCATGACCTGAGCCAAAGGCAGACACTTAACTGAGTCATCCAGGCGCCCCATTAATTCTACTTTTTTTGTATTGACAAAAAAAAATTTTTTTTTCCTTTGGGAACATTGATGGTCTTCCCTGTTTCACAGATCATTCTTTAAAGGATATTCATAGCGCCCTTGGCAATTCTCTAGACAATTTTTCTGTTAGAGCATCTTAAGATCCATTTGGATTTTATGGTTTTAATTCCATTTAATTAATATATATATATATATATATATATATGAAATTAGGTCTATTTAGTTATTTTAATCCAATGAGACTATTTCATCTTCATTGATCCTTAACAAGATAAGCAGTTGAGATGCTACTTTCTGACTCATGGGTTTTGATCCCCGATTCCCTACCCTTAAAATATGGTATTGTTTTACATCTTCATGAATAGAGGGAACAATTCCAGCTTCACACCTAAAATCATTTAAGTAAGTGCTTGTTTGTTGGGTGAAGGATATGATTGAGTTTGCTATAAACATTTGCCAGTTGTCCATGTCGTAACCATTTGGTTAGGGTCCCCTTTGCCTGGGGTGGTAAGCTGCTACCTTTATTCTATACTCCAGGACATGAATGACTTGAAAACAAAATGGTGGGAATTGAGAGGGGGGAGAGCTAAGACAAAAAAATCACATCCAAAACCAGATTCTTCTCTCCATGCTTTGCATAAGCGTATAAATTTAAGGCATTCTGCAGCAGGAAGTCTCTGTATTGAAAGCAATGAAAATGCTTTATGTAGGAAAGGAGCAATCCATTCTGTGGAACAGACCATCTTCACAGTCAGTGTCATGTGCTTTCATCACACAGTGATGGCTCTTGGAATTTTACCGACCATCATAATCCTCTATGGAAGAATAAAAGTCAGGTTACAAAGGCAGAGGAAGTGCCTTGTGGTTGTCACTATTTGCTCGAGGATAAACTGAGTCTTCATTATCTCTACAGGAGCCTTCAAAACTTGCCAAATGAAAAATGAATGATGCCAGGTGATTACTGCCAGCGCTATTCTCTGCATAGCCTCAAATTTAAATCCCACCGTGCATACGGAGTGTCGCTAGGCAAGTGATGTTTCCCCACAGATAATCTCATGTGAGCCTCACCATAATCGTGTAAACTATTATGTCTCCACTTTAGAGATGAGAACCCTGAGGTCAGATTTTGATCTGAGTAAATTTGCTATTTCCGACTCGACCTGGAATTCTGCATCTTGGTAGCTTTCTTTCCCTTATAGCTTTTAGGAAACCTGTGGACTGCTTAAATTACTTTGATAAGTAGAGGGTTTTTTTTTTATTTGTTTGTTTCTGGTTTGTGAGGTTGCCATAATGTGGTTATAGGACAACGTTGTCAAGTCGGTTCTGACTTTCTGATATCTCTTACACATTCTTGTGTTGTTTATAAAATGGAGCTATAAAGTAGCTATTTGGTAGACACTCTCTTACCAGTTTGACCCCCTAGATTTTTCTGTTGCTTTGCCAAGAATGTGGACATGTTGGAGCATGTAATTCATGGTGCTTCTATTTTCACAGAAGCCAAAAAAAGCCCTATGCAAGAATAGCCGTGACAAACATTTCTCTTGATGTCTCTATTAAAGCATAAGGTTGGGCAAGAGACTTTGGGGTAAGGTAGGTGTTAAAAGGAGCATCTCTTTCTAATGTTTGTTTGTGGACCTTAGGCCTCAGCTAGGGGGCAATGGGTAGGTTGATTCTATTTTATGTAGATTCCTTTCCTAGAACTTGGTTTCTAAATTCTCTCTGGCTATTAGAGGCAGTAGTTGGGTAGAGCTGGTTTAGCACACAAAGTCCAAAGAAAGGAGGCTCAATTCTATGTCCACTTCTAAGAATGATTAAAAATCACTATTTTTTCTTTAGGCTCCAGTTTCCTTCTATTGGAAAACAAGGGTATGCTCAACCTCTCTCTTTGTTCTGAAGGATGGTCTGAGTTGGCATCATGTTTGTTTTAAAATCTAACCGTATTGTTGTGTTTTGGAGATCGTTGTTTGACCTATAGATGATCCAAAGTTGGGCTGTAATCTGGTCTTAATTGCACTGCAGTGAAGAATATGCTTTCATAATCAGGTAGAGAATATGGTAACAAGTAAATTGTAACAAACTTCCTTAATGGGGAATTATAATGGCTGGAATAGGGACAGTGGCATTAGATTGCCCTGAATTTGGATCTCAGCTACGTACCATTTTCATGATTTGGGGCATATTATTTACTTCTTCTAAGCCTCACTTTTCTGAACTGCAAAATGGAGACAATATTGATCTCACACTGTTGTGAGAATTAAATGTGGTAATGAGTAGATCTAGCACAGTGCTTGGCAAAATAATCACTCACTTCGTGTTAATTTCCTTCTTTAGTGAAATCTTTTTTTTTTAAATGAAGTATTTAAGAACTAGTAATTTATTTTTGTATGTGTAAACTGACAAGAGAAGCAT